GTGGGGTGGGTGGGGGGGCGGGGGGGGTTGCAGGGTGCTGTCAGCTGGGGCGATAAAGTCACAGCTGCTCATCCCAGCAAATCAAGACTGTGGACAAAAAGAGAAGAAAAGTGGAGTTTTAAAGCAACGTTTTCTCACTCTGTGACTTCAAAATAACTAAACTGGCTTGTACTTAAGACAATAGCAGATCAGTTATCGTCTGTCGGTCATGGCCTGTTAGGTGGGGGGGGGGGTTGCAGGGTGCTGTCAGCTGGGGCGATAAAGTCACAGCTGCTCATCCCAGCAAATCAAGACTGTGGACAAAAAGAGAAGAAAAGTGGAGTTTTAAAGCAACGTTTTCTCACTCTGTGACTTCAAAATAACTAAACTGGCTTGTACTTAAGACAATAGCAGATCAGTTATCGTCTGTCGGTCATGGCCTGTTAGGACGCCTCATGCTGTTTTAGTGTTGCGGTTCCTTCACGTACGAATGCGCCGACAAATGATTTGTCACAGTTACAAAGCTTGATTTTTGTGCTCTGTGTTCGAAGCCCAAATTTTAGTTGAATCGTGAGCTTCAGACAGACCACCACAAGATGGCAGTGAAATCTTCCCAGCTTCTTCCAGGTGGAAAATTAGAAATGGGCTGCAAGTGAGTTCCGACTAAAATTAAATACATCTAGATACTACGGTACAGTGATCCCTCGCTATTTCGCGGTTCGGTTTTCGCGGCCTTGGTGCATCGCGGATTTTTTCAAACATATTCATTAAAAAAAAAAAAAAAGAAAGCAAAAATGTCACAAAAAGTCCGCAAAAGGTCCGCGAGAGGTAGTGAAAGTCAGCAAAACAACAGTGAGTCACATAGAGCAACATATACAGTACTACATGTATGTGTTTACTGTATTTTGTTATTCATACACTAACCTAACCTAACTTATACATTTTTAAATATATTAGTATATGGCATGAAGTAATGTTAATTACTACAAACATGCATGTATACCATTAAATTTGGCCTTATAAATATTATTTATACTCATACACGTACATATACAAATATGCGGGGTGGTTTCGGTCCCCATTATCCGCAATAGACGAGGGATTACTGTATTATTTTTTTTTGTTTGTTTTTTTACATCTGTTTCATGCTGTGAGCCAGCTATCATCCCCGTCACACTTAATTGCTGGGGCAATACTAAAACCGGCTTTTGTTCGACTGACAATCATCGGACTGGAAGTCCTGCCTCTTGGACAAGTGGAAGCAGAGCCCGTAATTAGAAAGGTGAGTCAATAATGCCAATAATCACATTTTTAAAGACACCCCCCCCCCACACACACACACACATAGACACACCCGGCCAACACCTTCAAAAATCAATCAAGTGCCGTATTTCATTCGGTAATGATATCGCAAACACAAACAATGAACACCATGAAAGCGGTGTAATTTAACCACACGAAACCCTCACACACACACACACACACACACACACACACACACACACACACACACACAGACACGTTCTTAAAGAGCACCCTAATAGATTCAAAAAACATTCATCACTTGTGAAGGCTGCCATACCTTATGGCTTTAGTTGCTTTGTTAAAACAAATCTTTCACTCTGGAACTTAGTCCAGCCTTGTTGGCTGAGAACTTCAGTGTGGGAGTCGTCATGTTGTAAATGAGACGGAAGGGCATAGCAGCTTGCTCACAGAAACATTTGTAGAAGTGGGCAGATAACGCAAGATTTTCTTGGGTGTGTAAATTGATGGGTAGGCAAGCACTCCAGACCCAACTATTTGTATACAAACATTACAACGTAAATTTTTCTCGAGGCTAATATTTCACCTTTAAATTTGAGTTAGCCCTTTTTTTTTTTTTTTTTTTTTTTTTTTTTTTTTTTTTTTTGCATGGCTTCTTGTACCTCTGCCCCATGTCGTTCCTCCATGGATGATTCTGTTTCCCGAACAACCACCGCCTTGGTCACCTGCATGTCTGGATGCTGCTGCTTGGCCTCTTGGATTGCGATGGCCAGAGCCTGCCAGATCAAATCAGACATGACGTCTTGAAGAATGACAACACTGAGTTCAATGTTAACTTTGTTTGCGTGGAAGCGCGCGCTTCACCTGTTCCTGGTCCACATCATCATCTCCTGTGATGATGATTCTCTTTTCAATCCTGGTCTCTGAGTAGCCCCCTTTTACTGTCTGAAGTGAGGTAGACAACATTTTCCACAAGATATTATGCATTAAATGATGCGCTTTGTACATTTTCATTCTCTACCTTGGTAACCTGTGTGGTCGCCGATGTAACATTTTCAGTAACAAGGATAGGAGACCCAGTTGACTCTCTTCCAAGACTGCCCATATGCACCTGTGTGGGGGGAAAGCAATTGTACATGCTGTGTATCAGTTGTACCCATTAAGAAGATTGTTTGTCCTGACTATCTTGCGTGTCAACTTTTTTCCACCATTAGTGTTCTACTCGTCCGATTTTATGATCGATATCAAGAAAATCCATCTTCTCAATATTCGTCGTATGCCGTGAGAAACTTGCAGAGCAATAATATGCACAGTAGACGCACTGCTGAGTGTAATAGTCATGGTAAGACCAAAATCTGAACAGCTGACTGAAAGACACATTTGCTGACTAATGTAGAGGGTTGGTGGGTAGAACTCCAAAGATTCCAAAATGTGACCACGAGCGAATAAAAAGTCACTTTTCAATTGGATTCCATGTATCCAATGTGGGAAACCACTGCACCCGCACAGGGTTTCAAAATCAAGTCAAATGTATATCGCCCTTAATCACAACAGTCTCAAGGAGATTCACAGGCCCATAGTTGACAAATATTTACGACATCCCCTGATCTTCAGACCACAATGAGGGCAAGGAATAACAAACAAAAAAAAAGCACCTGGGGAAAAACAAGAAACCTTGAGAAAGGGCCATAAGCGGGGGGAATCCCCCTTCCAGGATAACCGCAATGGATACCGAACGCATAATGCTGTGCAATACAATGTTAAGTATTCCTGTGAGAGCCCATTTAAGAAGATGAGAGATGGCTTTTTAAGAAGACGAGGTTTTAAAAGTTGGGTTAGAATGTTAAAGTAGGATTTTAAAATATGGCTAGGATTTCAAATTAGGGACTGAAACTACTCTGTGTGATTAAGGTTTCAAAGTAGGGCTTGAAACTAGGGGTATTACAGTTTCAAATTAGGGTTCTTAAATATGGTTAGGGTTTTAACCTAGCATATGTTTCAAATTAGGGTTAGAGTTTCAAAGTACGATTTGAAACTTGGGTTAGGATTTCACATTAGATTTTCAAACCAGGGCCGTGCAGAGGATGGGGGCAAGGGGGTCATTATCCACCTGAATAGGAATATCCATCCCCCCAAAAAAGTCCCCCTGCAAACCCCAGCAACCAGCAATCAGATCCCAAAATGCAATTTAATCATCATCACAATGGAAGAAAATGTTGACAATCTTGTAAATGCATTGTATGACTCCGTTTATGACTCTGGTAATGAATCTCACTGAAATGTTCAGGTGTGCCTGTTGGCTGGTGCAAATGTTTGGATTGAGGAGATAGTTTTAAACCACGGAGAGGACCCAGAGGTAAAGGTGGAGATGTGCGACTGTTCCTACTCACTGGAGACACGCTCTGTCTTGAAGAGTAAGAGACTTCGCTCAGGCCAGTCATACCGTGATCCTGCAAGGATAAATTTCAGTTCAAGAAATGAGAAAAACGTTTCCCTCTCACGACTCGAACGTAAAAATCGATGGATTGCCATAATGCCTTCAATGAATGGCCTATCGTAAAACTGTTTTCATATATAGGGTGCACCGCATTATAAGGCGCATAGAATAGAAACTACAATAGGGGCTGCAGTTGCGTTATGCATCCATTAGATGGAGCTGCGCTGAAGGGAATACAATACAATACAATTCTATTTATATAGAGCTTACACAACTGCTGCCACTGTAACAAAGCGCTTCACAGACCATTTAAAATACTACGTCCAAGAAATCAGGATCCATATATAAGGCGCATCGGATTATAAAGCGCACTGTCGGCTTTTGAGAAAATTGAATGCTTTTAGGCGTGCCTTAGTGCGGGAAATACGGTATATTATCAACCAACACCACCCGCATGGTTGCAAGGATAATGTGCAGCTAAATAGGGCAAGATACAATCGAGTCAAGGTGCAGTACAAAGTAACGATTGCATCATGAAGATGAACAGACAAGAGCAATTTATATGATAGAGAATACTGCATCATTCTCATCTGTTTGAATTGAAAAACATTGCAGACCATGTAAAATATTTCATGATGCTTCCATCCATTTTCATTGCGTCCCAGGAAGCCTAAAGGGAAAGAAGGCTTCAGGACCCAGGCAGACCATTATTAGGCAATCCCAACCGACCTGATCTGTGAACTCCACTATGGTGGTTGTGACCTCGGACCCATTGGGCTGGGTCTCCGTCCTGACGTCCGTCTTCCTCACTGCCCCGATGACATCACTGGCTTCCCGATTCAAAGGCGTGGCGCTGGTGACCTGACTGGCTTCCTTGTGTGACTGCTCCCTGTCCACTGAAGATGACACCGGTACCGACCTCTTGGGCTTTTTAGGCACTACAGGCTTGGGAGGAAAACATGAATCAATCATCAGTTGAGAACCACCGATTTAAAGGAGAAAGCAGTCCAAAGACAGGCTGACCAAATCTGAAAGAAAGAAAGAAAGGAACAGATGCAATGTACCTGCACATCAGGCCGCTTAGGTTCCGTCCGAACTTCTTCGGTTTGGACGTTTTTAGCTGGAGGACTGCTGCTGGCTTCTGTGGACGCAGGAGACGCCGACACCCAAGGAGGCGACTGCTCTAAGGGGCCTTGCTGCTGGAGGAAGTCGATCCCGAAGCGCAGCCCCCCGTCGGGCGACAAGTCCCGTTCACCCAGCTCGGACATGCCCCGCGAGAACTCCTCCATGCCTGTTTGCAGGTCCGTGAGGACGGTGAAGTCGACCTCGGCCTCCAAGCTGGAAGTGGAGCTGACGGTGATGCTGGAACATTTGCGCTCGATGCCCAGGTGGGTTTCCTTCAAGTACGAGATCTCGTGGTCTTGATCGTCCTCGGACACTGAACCCAGACGTCTCTCCCAAGGCTCCCGCTACACATAGAGTCCACGTTATTGGAGAGGTAAGAAAAACTAACCAGCCTAACTTCTGAAGTAGAAAGTATTTCTGCGCTGAGGTAAAGATATTAGACACAGAGATATTGTGAAGAACCTTGTCAAGTTACTCTCAAGTAGAAGTATCACATGACTTGCTATCATTCTTGTGACGTTATACCATATGCCGATTGGATGATGACGAATGTGGCACGGGAATGCAAATATCCAGCGAGAATTAGCATGTCTTCAGTTGACCCACATTCTAAGTAAAAAAAGACTCAAGTAGTGGAGCATAATTAGTCAGTAGCTGCAGCTACGGACGACCCCCGGCCACCAATTTGGCAACGGCGGAAATGAACCACGCTAAATGCCGGTCAAGCTGCCTGACAATCTGTTTGTGTACAATGTTCACCGCTTCTCTTTCTCAGTTAGCATCAGAGAGCAGCTGCTGCAAAGACACCCCCGAAAATGACCAAGTGTTGCATCCTCACACCACATCACGTCAACACTTCTGGTCTTTTCGCGACGTTTAGCACGGCTTTCACCCATGAGCTTTTAGGCTCCTTGTGAGGAAATATAACAGGCACCGCGTTTGGTTTTGACCGTCGTTTATAGCAGGACGATCTCTCGTGAGATGAGAGCACAATCACAGGTCTGCAGACGGGTGGACTCTTCCATCCGCAGTCGCCCACTGTGCCACCCTTTTAATTTGTAAAATAAATTAAAAAGATGTAAAAAGACGTTTTGTGTCCAGTGACAGAAATTTAAGTCATGTTTGTGTTGTTTCATAGGAAGTGCAAAGTGAAAATGTAGACTGCGGCGTTAGCTTCTCCCACTATCAGCTAGCTGACTGGTTCAGTTTCATATGCTTGTCAATTGTCAGCAAACGTTAGCGCGTTTTATATTTTACATTACGTGTGTGATTTCATTTCATGTTTCTGTGACAATGGTGAGACATGTGACATGCAGCGTTTGACTGTTTTTAACGTAATAAGGTAGCATTATTTAACTTCTGCTTATACACGTATGGCACTTCGTACAATCCAAATTTAATTGAATGCCCCGGAACAGAACTTGAACGTAACACGGTCATAGAAATATCATCCGGTATGATGCTCAGCGACGACTCACCGAGGAATCGCTGAGCGGCTCCTCGTGAATGGCAGGTGTTGGAGGGGTCTCCTACAAAAGAATGAACAAAAAAAAAAAAACCTGAAATTACACAGCCACAAATGGATAAAAGCCTTAAATTCATTCATGACATTCTACCTACTATTGTACTACTAAACTAATGGGATTTCATTCGAAAAACAATCACAAACATGAGTTGTGACATTTTTAAAAAGTTTGCAATGCTCTCTGCTGAGTGTTTGTGGAATGCAGAAGTCGTCCATTGCTGTTTCTTGCTCAGGCTGCGGGGGGTTAAAAAAAAAACACACAAGAAAATTCTTCACTGAAGCTATAGTCAGAAGCATGCTGCATTTCTCTTCAAAATGAACGGCAATGCCATGCACTGAACTGTTCCCCTTTTTGAAAAAGAAAAAAAATCATAATCACCATTTTCAGGGGAAAGGTATTCATTGGAAATGGGATGTATGAATGCCTAAACCCTGAATCATTTGGCAGCTCTGCGGCCTCTGACCGTGTCTAATTGATGTTTATTGATATGTCTAGCGTTGCTACAGAGATGCCAAGGCAGGACCTTGCGTTTCGCAGCCTCTCTCGGCCATTTACGAATAGTTTTCGACGAAGGGATGATTGGAAAAGGCCTTTGCGCTCCTTGCAACAGCAGCCACCTTTGTCATGTGAGGGATGTCGGAAGTATTAAGGTGGGACCTTAGCATAAAGGTCCGTGACATTCTGAAATGACCAAGCAGATGTCAAGCTTTGCAGAGGAAGGGGGAGAAAAGCAAAAAGCTCGCTGCACCGTGGACAAGAATTAAGTTGATCGATGGCTTTTGCTTTCTCAGTCACATGAGTTGTAAAAGGATGAGCGTGTGATTTTGGGTTTACTTTTGAGATGGCAAACACAAGATTTGCATGTCGTTGCGTCAAGCTCATGCAATGTTTGACTTCCCCATGATGGACAGGCGGGTTTTGGTGGGACGCGTGGGTGGTTTACCGCTTGCTTCCTCTTGGTGGCGTCTTGGTTGCTTCTGTAGTGAATGTGGCTGCAGTCAGTGTTGCCGTGGCGGTCTCGGGACCACTGCTTTTTCAGAGGGAGTGTTCGTGGGGGAACTGTTGGTAACCTAAATAGGAGCCTCTCTGCATTCACGTCCGCGTTATTTTGAGTATCTTCCGGTTTCTCGCCTCTTCTTGGCATTGCGTTTTCTGCATTATTAAATTCTCTCAAGTCTTGTCGTTTTTCTGGTCCAGCGCCGCGGTGGTTTTTTCCAGCTGCTGAGTTATCACTGACTCTTGGTGTGTCAGACTGCAGCCTATCGTTATCCTCCAATCCTGTTTTCTCACCAGATTCACCTTCCGATCTTGTCGTTGCTGCATCCCCGACCGGACCCCGCCCAGACCGGCTATAAGGGTTCACACAAAGTACGGAGTCTTTATTCAAAGATTTTTTGGATCGCTGTGGCTTGAGAGGAACGACTTTGGTGACTTCGGCATGTTCAGAGTTCAAAGTTTTGTTGAACTCTATCAGCAAATCTTCAGAGCTTAGACCTTCGATTTCCTGCGTGTCTCTTGAGGCCCCTTTTCCTTCTGAGACCGAATCCAGAGTCTCCGAGGAGAAAGCAAAGTTTTTCGATAGCACTTGGGGTATGTTCTGCTCGTATTGGCAAAGCTTAACATCTCTACTCTGTGTTCCGCTCCCTTGTTTTGCCTTTGGGGAACTGAATCCATTTTCATGAATGTAACTCCTCGCTAATACAGAATTATGACCATTGTTAGTTGCCAAAGGATCATCCAGCGGGCTTCTAACTTTGAGTCCCTTTGCTCTTAAATCAATTTGAGGTGATATCCCAGTCGGAGAGTTCCACGTTCCCCCGTTTTCCTCAGCCCAAGGTGTGTCTGTAGCCAGATTAGAGTCACAATCCAGCGCTTGTCCATTAGCATCCTGCTTCTCAATCAAATTGGCTTCACCAGTCGCCTATGTTGACATAGAGTAAATAGTTAGCCTAGCGTAACACTCCAATGTTACCCCACTTTACACTCAAAGAGATTTTTCAAGACTAGTCAGGGGGAAATGCAAATCACTACATTCCTTGGTCATATGTCAAGATCTGTTTTTCCCACTCGTATGTTCAGTCCCAACAAGTAAAATTTGGAGTGGCTGCACAACACATTACAGGACACCTGGCCAAGCTAAATAGAACAGACAAAGAGAAAATATCCAGGAATCAAATCGCATTCTTACTGGTTTCCGCTCTGGGGTTCCTCCAGGAGGAGTAGCAGAGCAGGCGCGTTTCTCCCTCTGGGTCATCTTGCTGTTGGGCTGCCTCAAGGCCCTCTTCAGCTCATTAATGCTGGCCTGGTGCTTCTGAAGAACATCTTCTGGCTTGTCCAAGAACTGCTGTTTACACAGTGGAAGTCAAGGCTGAGTTACAAATACCAAAGAGATACTTTCCAGATATGTTGTCTTCAAAAGAAAAAAAAGACCCAAATTAAACAGGATCTCTTTATACTCTCCTTGGCAATAACTGTCTACCTCTCACATGCGGAATGACATAGGTCTCATTTGTTTCGACTCTCTCATCGTAGCATAAACAAAACTGCAGTTTGGAAATGTGTGTTGCTATGTTGGACAGTTGTAAAAATGCTTTTTGACACTAATTTTATCCAAATGGGAAGTGTCTTTCAAACGATGCCCCATTTTGAAGCAGCATGCATTTGTGGGATGAGCAGCACGGCTGTGCATTGTGCCCATGTTGAATGGCACGCAACAGCACTGCCTTAGCCAGATGCCTGAAGTTGTTGTCGCTGTTGACTGTTGTTTGATGTCCTTTGGAGGATTGTATGACTGAATTCTCATCAGTAACATACTGGAACATTTATAACAAGACATATTGGCAGTTGCACAATGTACAGTGGAACCTCAAGTTACGAAGGAGCCCGGATCAGCGCTTTGCTTCTTGCGCTATTTCACGGTCATTGGCTCTGTGCGTAACTCATTGCGTTCTGCTGTTTTTCTCATCCTAATTCGACCTCAGAGTGAGTTAAGGTTACGCTTGGCTGTACAACTCCAAGAGAAAGCTGTCGTGTGTCAGCTGGAAGTTCCATTTTTGCACACGTTTCTTCCAAGTCCAAGTTCTCACGGCGGCCGCCTACACTTCTGACCTAATGTGGCACCAAAATCTTACTGTTTGTACATGTACAATATTCGTTGTATCAGAGTGGCTCTTAAATTAAAAGAAAAAAAAATGAACCACAAAAAAGCTAAGCAGGAACAAGCAGCAGCCACACACACACACACACTTCTAAACACAACTTTTACAGTTGCTGCCTTAACCTCATCAATGTGGCAAAAGAAAAGACAAGTACCTCTGTATCAAAATTCTCTAATCCCCATCCCCCAAAAAACTTTTATTTCTTCACAGTGAAGTATATTTTTATGTTGTACTGAATTTATTTTCAACCACACACTGACCAAAATAAGAAAAAAAAATCATAAAATATATATAAAGGTCTGGAACAGATGAATTTCATTTCCAATCATTTCAATGGGAAACTTTACCTTGATTTATGAACATTTTGAGTTACAAACGGGATCATGGAACCAATTAAGTTCGTAAGTTGAGGAACCAACAGTACTCTTTCAATGAACATTCTGGATCATGTTGACGAATCATACACAGCCAAAACCACCTAGTCATGTACATGAACTTCAAGCTGGTCACCAACCTGGTGGCACACCCTCTCTCTACAATCAGACGTGCGATTTTTCAGCTTCGTAGTGTACCAGAAGCTCAAAACAAGAGTCAAGTCGCGACAACAAAATCAAGCAGCTTGATACATTGTACAGCGGAACGTGTTTGTGAACGTGGCATACACTGAAGTCAAAACAAACATTTTTCATGTCGTGTTCGAGCAGGACAATAATTGATGGAAGTCAAGAGTAGAAAAGATAGGCAAATACCTCCTGCTTGGGCCGAGCCGTGGCCAGATCCTTGTCCAACTGGGGAGCGAGCCAAGTGAGATGAGGCGTTTCAGGCAAAGCAGATGACGGTGTGATTTCATTTCATTAGTTTGGTTAATTTGCATGCAAGGATGTCAAAGCTTAAGCCAAAAAAAAAAAAAAGGAAGACAAGCAGGCAAACACTCACACTGTCGTCAAACAATCATTTTCAAAATTGGCTGATTGAATATTAATATACTAATTTGATTTTGCAGACTTAACATGAGCAGCGAGGTCTACTTTCCCTAAAGACCACGTAACAAACGATTATCTGCGCGTGGGCTTTTAAATAAGCGTATCGTGTGTAGAGGGCTCCAATTAAAATGCATGCTGATGATCAAAAACGAGAATTTTCAATGCCTGGCTGTTGGAGAGCCGAGCGTCAAGCGATTAGATCACTGGCGGGTGAGGGGGAAACCGCTAAGCTAATCAGTAGTACTTGAAGACCATCTGTTTGTAATGTGTGCTCATAATAATTGTACCAAAAAAAAAATCAGTCCCTTTAATGGAAGTGAATGTGTGCACCTGTTCTTTACAGCAGTGATTCTCAAAGTTTGGTCTTCTGCAGTCATCTGTGAAAAAAAATCACTGCCTAAATGCAGATTAGTTGTACAGTATTTAATATTTTCATGTATTCTCTCAGAACTTTTATGAAGGCACATTTGTATTTGACTTTTATGTGCAATACATTTGAATTAAATTATTATTTAAATTCTAGAAAAATAGATCTTATTTTACTTATTTTAATAATCGGTAAAGATCAAGAGTATGGCAGTGTATTAAATGAATATATTATTGCCATTTAATCAATGAATCACATGAAAAGAAAAGTTCTAATTTTCCTCCCTAAATTAAAAATCAAGATATTTGAAATTGACAGTGTTGAAAATGCACAATTTATTTTTAATTAGTTATGACTCAGTTAGTGGCTTGGTCAGTAACAGCAATCAGAAAATCGGCAAAAATGCTGATCAATGTATTCTAAATTAAAAGGATATGTTTTAGGGGTTTTTTTGGGGTTTTTTTGATTCACCACAAAAATAATCAGTCGACTTTCATTTAAGTCAACAGAAATCTGAGAATTTTCACAGTTGCAAGGCTGAATTTCCGAGGATTTGTACAATTCTGAATTAAACAGTGTCTCTAAATGATTAACCAAGTTTCAAAAGTAATTATTGATTAACTGAATAATTGGTTAGTTGTAAATTAGCATTTCTATATCAAAGTACATCATTTTCTTTTTTTTTTTACTTGTTTGAAATGGAAACTCATTCACTTTTGATAAATCTGTAAGCCCTATTACGCAACTGCATTTTAATATCGCGCATGAATTTGGGACGTCTGAGAGCTAAGTCGAATTTAACACCCGGTCCTGCAATTTCCTCCATGGATCGAGTCATATTTGCAGACATCATTGGAAGGGAACAGAATTTATTTGCCGACTGTTTTATTTTTTCTTCTTCATTTTCTGTCCATTCATTCTGTTGACAGCTCACGGTGTCTGCATTGGAATGCTGCAAAATCGCCAGCTAAATAGAAAAAAAACATTCCTTTCAGGGAAAAAAAACTCTAAAAGGAGACAGGATGCAGACACGAGGTGCGGTACGAGACCAACAACGACCACAACCACGCGCACACACACAAGGGGCCAAAATACCTCTGGTTTCGAGTCTACAGGCGAGGCTGCTTCCTCGGCCTGCAGGACAAGACAACCCGGCGGGGGTGGAGGGGGGAGGGGGTCAGAAAAGAGGAGAGGGGATGGTTAGCCCAAGGGGATGATGACATTAGAGCAGGGAGACGACAGAAACCTTTCAGAGGCGCTTAAATAAAAATAAGCAGATTTAGGAGCAAGTGAAGTGTCTCTTAAATGCCTGGAGAGGAGCTAAAAAAAAAAAACCCCGGCAAGATTAGATGAAACAATTGAGAAAATAGGGATGGTGAATACCGGTGTCCAATGCAAAGGAAGAGGATAAATGCTTTTATGGATTTGATCATTTTAGATGTTGGTTAAAGTCAACGATGTGGCTCAGTACAAGACTGTGAGTAGTGTATCGAAAAAAAATGAATAAATCTGTTTTGATCAGCGGTCATTCATCAGCGTGAGAGAACAAATGTTAGCGTACCCTTTTGACCCGTACCTTGAACTCCAAAGTCTTGCTGCATGTTGACATGCTCACACCGTGAATGTGCTCTGGACCTTGGTGCAGATCTAAGTCCTGGTCAGGGTCATGATGCAGGTCTTGGTCCTGGTCCGGATAGTGGTAGTGATCATGGTCTAGGTCCAGGCTGCCTTCTTGGTCCAGGTCTTCCCTGGACATGAACTGTGTTCGTTCACTTGAGCTTCGCTGGGACAATTGGTCCATACTGTTACCTAAAGCTGAAGCTGGTTGGGTGCCAGTGGAAGGGGGGGGAGTGCAGCGCTTAGTTTGAACAATCCATATCGGGGCACTTGACCGTACAAATTCCATTTGGTGAATAATAACTCTTGATTTGAACACATTCATGCTGTACATATTCTGTAAAAGAAAAGACTTAGGAGTGGAGTGTGTTTTTAGTTCCCTTGGAATACATCTTTTGAAATTGCTTTTCATGACAGTTTCCTGACAGCAACGGTACATTTTTTTTACACTCGCCTCCAGAGCGCTTTTTACTGAGCCCTGTGAAAGCAGTCAAGCAAATATGCATGACCAGGGAAAAGATCTATTTGATCACTCCTGCCTGGAAGTTTGATAATTTGTCACAAATTACATGACACATTTCATCGGTGTCATTTATAACATTCGTGCCGTTGTTAAATCCAGCTTCTTTCATCTTCGGCAGCTGGCTAAAATAAAACCACTCCTTTCTCATGAGCACTTTGAAACAGTAATTCATGCCTTCGTCACATCCCGGCTGGATTACTGTAATACACTTTACTTTGGAGTCAGCCAATCCTCCATGAAGCATCTCCAGTTGGTCCAGAATACTGCTGCTCGCCTCTTGACTGGTACTCGTAATAGGGAGCACATCTACTACTACTCTACTACTCTGGCATCCCTTCACTGGCTCCCTTATTTTTTTTCAAATCTTGAAATGGCCTCGCTCCACCTTGCCTCAGGTCTTGAGCCTTTTCTATCGCTGGTCCCTCTCTTCGGAATGACCTCCCACTGAACATTCGGCAAGCCCCCTCGCTGCCCATCTTTAAAACTCGTCTCAACACTCATTTTTATTTTTTGGCTTTTGACGCATTGATTTTTAGTTTGACTGTTTTTGTGCTTTTTACTGTCTTTGTTATGAATTTATTGTCTTATTGTTTATTGTTGTGTATGATATTTGCTCCATGTACAACACTTTGTATACAGCGGTGCTTGGTTTAAAGTGCTCTAGTAATACAGTTGAGTTTAGTTGAATTGCATTTGGGAAAACTGTAAGTGGTAATGGACGGTAAGAGAAGAGCGCAGTTTTCCTTTAAAACGCATCGTCAATTTATGTGATGGGTTCACTCTCAAAAATGCCGTCACTCTCCAACTTTTTAAACATATTTAAGCATTTCATGCACCCTGTAACCTGATAACACAATCGGCTGTGTTGTAACCACTGTCCCTGAAAGGTTTGAATGTCAGGACCAAGACAAAAACTGAAGGACGGATTTGAGCTCTTACCCCCGTCAATACTTCGGGACAGCAGGTACCTCTTGCTAACAGAGCGGTCAAAGAGAGGAGCAGGCCTGTCGATCAGAGCACTGGCCTGTCTGGTTTGGGCTTGAGTTCGCCCACTGTAGCGGAACTTGGAGCCAATCACCAGGAAGCCCTTTGGAGGTGGCTCTGGAGATACCAACCTGTCATAACACAGATTATTGTTACAAGTAAAGAAAGATTAAAGAAGCGAATGTATGACATTCAGTCCTGGATTTCAGAGGAGCTCCCTAATACACACTCTTTTTCACCCTATTTGCTTCAAGACAGAATCACTCAAACAATCAATCCCACATAATCAGCAGGATTCCCAACGATTGATGAATGACTGATGAGACCAATCCCTCGTACGGTTGTACCGTGCCATGCAACAGTGCAGAATAGGTGAGTAATCCAAGTCGTACCTGAAGAAGGTGTGGTGCTCAATGCAAACCTTCCACAGGCGCTTCGAGGCCCGATGGTTGGGCAACTTGAAGCCAATGGTGCTCTCAAACTGTTCATACTGAGCCGTGAGGGAGAAGGAGTGGTGGATGGTGGAGGATGAGGAAAAAGGAAGGGTGAGAGGAGCAAGTGCGGGCGGGGGGGGAGACGAAGGGACAGTGTGAGGGTGAGCCGTGTTGACTCCAAAGCAAAGAAAGAATCCATTTCTTGGTCCCTGAGACATTTTCTCGGGTGATACGGTTGTCCTTTCCAAAACAGAACCCTGACCGTCCAGGAAAACTCTCACTGATTTGAGGATAGAAAGAAGGAAAATTCACAGAATGGTTTTGGTATTCACTGTGAAAGAAGTCAATGCGACAGACTACCAACAGTGAAACCATGAAACGAAATAATGTGGCCAAACGATCTGACCTTCGTTCCACTCACTGTGGATTTACCATACGCTGGAATTTACGATCATGAGCCGCCCTCATTGGGCTTGCAAGTACAACAGTTTCAACGTCAAGCACCCTGCGAAAAGACCCAAGTCGTTCGTATCTACCTCTCCAGGACGGATCTTGATGTAGAAGTTGCTCCTCTTGTAGGAAATCTTGAGGATCTTTGGCCAGGCGAAGCGGTTGATCCTTAGACGGTCTCGGTAAATGAGCAAACCATTGGCGCTCACGCCAAGCATGATGTCAATTCCCTCGGAATCCTAAACAGCGTGGGCAACGGTGTGTGGTTTAGGAGTGTGGAGTGACTCAATATTTTTACGGGTTTGTCTCTGTACCTTAGCGTGATGTAGGTCCACCCCGTACATCGAAAGCTTCTTTGCATTTTCTAGAAAATTCACTTCCGCCTCTGCTGGACTCATTCCTCTACGGTGGGATAATCACAAAATCAGTCCCCACTGAATCGGCCGTGGCCCGTAAAGTATCACTGACATTTAGGTGAACATGTGTGTTGACCTATAGTTGCGATGCAGCTCCATCACCCTTTCCTCCAGCTCCCGTGTCTGATTCGGGGCAAAGCGAAAGTCAGCGACGTAATCCGGCCCGTGTTCCTCAGGCTCATAGTCGCCCAGTTCGGCTTGAACAGTGTAGGAGCCCAAGAGGGCATGCGTGACAAAAGAACAGGGCAGTCGGCCGGACAGGATGTCATCCCTCAACTGCAAGCACAGGTAATACCTGAAGGGTAAAACATACGGAGACCTCGCGTAAGGTTTAGCCTTCCGTCTTTTTGTTTTTAGCCCAACTGCACAAACACACTTTCACACGGGCACTGCCACAACATCCATTTGCTGCCAGTTTAGCAAACTTTGAGTCTTGTGAGATTTCAGCTCCAAGGATGTTTTGCAAACTTAATAAAATTCTACTTTGGGGGAATTTTTTACTTTGCACTTATCAAAAAGATGTTCGCTGTTAATCTAAACATACCTGCGGATACAATTGGCAGTTTCTGGTATTGTCAATATGTGTAGCCACACAGGGCAGAATTCTTGGGGATGGGCTGCAAGGTGGCCCAAAAAAATTATCACTGCAGTTTGGATGGGCAATTTTCACCTCGTTTGTGGAAAAATTAGAAAGGCTCTTCCAAAATTTCCCTATAAACATTGAAGGGACAGTTTATCGATGTCAAGACATTTTCCAGAGGTTTTCGCACAGATTCCAGGACCGCCACTGGCTGTTACAGTTGCTAAAAGTTTAAATACGACAACAAAACGAGCATGGAATGGATCAATTAAAAAGCATCTTCACCATTTTTTTTTTCTTTTCTAAACTCGGAAGTTGACCTGCGGCGGCACAGCGGTTTATGTCCAATTTGGCGCTTCCACGAGTAAATTGAAACCAATCCGTTATGCATGGGCATCCAGGATGTGAACATTGGTGTTTATCCCCATAAAATTTGCCTCAAAGACAAGAACTATTACCCTGGACAGCAAACATAACAATATAAGCCACCTAACAGTTGCAGTAATATAAATGAGATGCCGGTGTACGATATAATTGAAGACTTTTAGAGCACTTATATATCACACAACCACACAGCATCTCAGTAAAATGTCTGGCGCAGAAATAATTTCACAGTCATCCATACCGATTGTCTTGGCCACGAGAATATGTTCAGATCAGGAGAAAAAGGTCATAAGCAGAGCTGCCGTTTCTGCCAAAAGTTACAACCCGACCATTATTTTGCGGTTTCAAGCAACTCCAGTGAGGATTCCTGCGTGTTCACAAAACCGATGTGCTCACCGGGTCATCGAAAAAAAATAATATCTTCTGTAAACAGAGTAATTCAAGCAGCAGAGTGTTGGAGCTTTTTTTCACCCATGTCTCACATCTTCCCTTGTTAAATAACCAGTCTGCAGTTCATCTATTATGAATAATTATTTGGATAGAATTATTCGGATACTCATATTTTCCTTTCTTGTTTGACATTTTGGTTCAATCCTGGACACAACAAAAAAAATCTTTTGTCAAGTACAGTGATACCTCTAATTATGAACACAAGTTACGAAACACCTCAACAGGAAAATTGCCTCTTGTTACGAAATAAATGTCAAGATTCGAAAGGTAAAAATACAGTATGGGCTGCGACTCGCAGCTCCGAGTTTCCTGAATGCAACACACTTATAGTTGCTCTGCCATTGGCTATTACCTAGCATTTTCCTGGCATCCCACTGGCTAAGAGGGACCTCTACCGTATGTGTCTATGTAGATAGATAAATAAATAGATATGTGTCGATGCAGCGTCCTTGTCATTCGCCCCTGGGGCCATGAGGCGTTCTGATAGTTTTGCATAAATGTGAATCACCCAGAAAAAGTGTTCACCAGTCGGGCGATCGCTCACTATGCTGATGTTTGCCTTGGACATTTTCGAAGAATTGTTGAAAGCCGACAAAAGCGAACGTCCTTGGATCAGTTCTTTACAAAACACCAGCCAAAAACCACATCTGGGAGAGAACATGAACTAAAGAGGGCAAAAAACAGTGAGGACGCAGTTCAGTTAAATGACCATCATTTTGAGTCTTTATTCTTTGTTTTTTACAACTCTCATTTATTGTGCAATAATCTCATTGTAACATGTATTTGTTACATATTTTGATGCATTTTTATGCTTTAGAAAACATTTATGTCTGAATTTTTGGGGCCTTGGAACGGATTAGGGCATTTACATGGAAAACTTGTCTCTACTTCCAAAATGTTCTTGTGAAGAAATTTCTTCCAGAACCAATTAATTTCGTAAGTAGAGGTACCACTGTATGCCACCTTTCAGTGATGTCCTTCGATTGTCGAATATAGTCTTGTGGGTTTATCCGCAAAAGTTCTTTTTGGGGTCCTTAACGACTGGTACCCACAGACAGATTTTTATCCTTTGCACCTCTGGATCACACAGTCATTAGAATAATCAGGGGTCTCAAATCCCGGTCCGCGAGGGCTGCTTTCCTGCATGTTTTCCATCTCACCCTGCTGCAACACACCTGATTCAAATGATCAAGGCCATTATCAGAGAGCTTGCTGATGAGCTGATCATTTGAATCAGGTGTGTTGCAGCAGGGAGGGACGGAAGACAAGCAAGCAGGAAAGCGGCCCTCAAGGACCGGACTTTGAGACCCTTGCATTCGATGTCTTTGGATCGGTGCCGAACTCGGCATCTGGACTGCATATTCGATATTCATGCTGTATACACCTGCCTGAAAGCGCGTGTGCGTGCACACACACACACACACACACACACACACACACACACACACACACACACACACACACACACACACACACACACCGAAAGGTTTAAGGAGAATGTGACATCTAGCCACGCATGCGATTGCGCATCAACAGAGATAAATATTTCCCCGAATGGAGTCAATCTGTTGTAATTCATCTCGACAGTAACTGGATTAAAACATATAACAGCCCCTTTGGAACCAAATGGAACGGTCAGACTTTGGCTTTACGGCACTCAAAATATTCGACGCCCTTCTCAGTGAGCGTTTCAAGAACAAAAGAGGCCGTGTCTCAATCAAGCTTTGGCTCGAGCACTCGCTGGATTATCCTCATCTGGAGAGAATTGGATTCTGGATCAAGTATAAAAACCGAGCGATAAAAAATAGGTGTTGAGAGACAAAGACACAAAAGACTTCAGAATTTGAATTCGGACCAACCTGGTGATGTCTTCAATGAGCACTGATGGATCTGGCGGATAGAATTTAACAGAGAAGCCTAAAATCCAGGAGCCAACTGTGAACAGATTTCCAACAATGACAGTTAGGCACATTTCCGATTAAGAATCTCGAAACATTCGGTTTAAGACTGCAACTTTGGACCATATGACCCCTCAGACTCACTCGGCCAGTGGATCCCAACATGCTAGGCCTGTTCTAAAAAATAACTCAGCAGGAATGCAACATTGTGATTTTGTAGAGGCGATCATTTGAAAACATGTGAAGGCTTGCACCGGTTTTTGTAAATTAAGTGTTGGCTATCGATATTCATCGGTTTTCCGCCTTATTATATCATTGTTGACAATTATAGCGCACAAATCTTGAACATGATTGGTGTCGTCACTAGAGCCACCAAGATTAATTGTTCGACAATTAATCAATCATCAAATTAATCATTTAGAGCCATAGTTTAACTTTCAGTCGTCTAAATTCTCTCATTTCAGGCTCTCGACAGTCATTATTCTGGTTTCCGTCGCCCTTCATGAATGCAGATTTGATCATCTTTTGGGAATTATCAAAATAAGATACTTTAGAAAAACACTGATGAAGGTTTTTTTTTTTTTTTCCTGAACTTCTGGCTGGTTACGGTCCAAGCCACGAACTGAATCAAATACATTTGAAGTAGTCTCAGAGGTGGAAATCAAACAAGTCGGTCTCAGCATTCATCAGCGGTTCTCTTTCAAGAGGGTTCGTGTATACATTACTCTCTTTCATGTCATAATGCTTAATTGTTGTTGTTTTTGGCTTTATTTAATCATCAAACAATACCATAGATTCAACAATCCTCGGGTTAGCACAAAGTCACTGCAAAAAATAGCTTTGGTGAAACATTTGAATGCAAAATGAATTGGTCGTCGGATTATTCCATGAACTGAAGGAATAACTGATTGAATCATGGACTCTAAAAATATTCAATCGCCTACAGCCCTCGTTGTCACATAGATGAATGCCATTAATTATGACCAATAATGTGAAAATAAAGCTTCTATGAGTATTATGAATCAGTAGCCAACAAGCAGTTCTCCGTTTCCAAAAAGTTGCTGACCGCCGCTCTACACAGACCTTCCACTGGGGCGCACCTCCTCCAAGCGTGGAACATGGAAGCATCCATGGAAACAGGTGTTCAGAACATTTACAAACACCCCGCCCCCCCGGTACAGCCCCTCCCTCATAAAAAATAAATAAATAAATAACGAAACAGAACTTTGCCACTTGTTAAAAAAAAAAAATCCCACTTGCATGCTTGGCCTTCATTTCACCTCCACTTCAATGAATTGAGCCTGTCATCTTGTCGTCCTTTGTTGACTTCGCCAGTTAGTCTGGATGGTCTGATAATGAAGCCAATGCCTCAGACATTTGGCAAAAAAATCCTTTCGATGACCCGCTGCAACACGCTGTCCGGTTCATGAATCGGACACATCCATGCACACATGCACGCTCACACAGGACGTGTGCATAGCGTCTCTGTCTTGTGCACTTACCCCGAATTTGCTTTTTAATCTCCTTTGATGGATCCAACCAATGCTAATAAAGATGAAAAAGAAGAAAAGGACAATGCCTTATTGAGAGTTTTGACCTCAGCAAAATCTTTCACAGACATATTTTCAAGAGCTCCTTGCTGACTGTATATGACTTCCATACTCAAATAAACTATAAACGCATATTCTTCGACTGAATAGCAGCAGCGGATTTTCTTGCTTTCTGACCAAGTACCCTAGTGTGAGGAGTCTGTAAAATCCTATTTGAAGTCTGAACACCTTCTAATTGTTTTCGGGAGAAAAATCTTGAGTGAAGGTTTACATGGACGGTATGGATCTGGCTATTGATCTTGTTCTAAAATCAGATTTGGGTCATTTTATAGGTCGTGCATCAATTATGTTCACATCTTTATACGTGTCCTAATATTTGCGCTCACAAAATTAAAAAAAAAAAAAAAACCTAGTACGAAATCAAGCACTTCATGCTACTGGATGTGTCATTGCATACACTCCACATTTGGCAGAAAACACTCCCCTTCGATAAAATTTCTCATGATCTGCGAGCTTGGGTGGGTTTTCACCAAAGTAGTCAGACTTCCTTCGGTTTCGGTGGGGTTTGGGTTAGGTTTAGGAGATAGGATGTTGCTGCCACCTACTGTAGTGGATGTGCTATTGCACCACTATTTGAAAAGGATTGAATTAACCTAACGTGCATGTTATAAGACTGTAAGAACCAAGTAAACACAGACTGAATTCGACAAAGGATCGCCTGAGTTGAGATTTGAACGCAGACTCTTTCGGCTGTGAGTGATACGCACCCGCAACAAGTCATCACAAATGTTTCCAAAAGTGTGTGAATGTGGTGGCGAGACCTTTGCGCTGTCGGAGTCATGGAACGTCAAGCCGAAATAGTCCCTCTCCAACAGGTTCAGATGGCCGCACACCATGTCCAGCAGTGTTTGGCCCTTGGCAAATTTCTATCAAACACACACACACACACACACACACACACACACACACACACACACACAGAATCACACAGCTATCAATAAATATACAATAATACATAAGTGGATAAGTGGGCAGGTGACGTAATGCAGATGCAAGTGTTGCAACATGATTAATGTATGCCATCAAAGATGAAAAAAAGGGTCATACAAGCTGTGGAATATTCACGAGCTAACACCCATAAAATTATGAGGGGGTCATTTTGTGGAACGGTTATTTGTGTGTATATATATTTATACCTGTTTATATATGAAGATAAATATAAGACTGTTTGGTGCATTTCTTTTTAGTCCTCGTTGACGTTTCGCAACACAAAGGCGTAAGAACCAAGTGAGTGGGCGGGCCGACTCAGTGCGAAGAAACACACAGCGGTAGCTCAACAACAGACCACACCTTTTATTAATGCAGCCCTTGGGAGGGGGCAGAAACAAGCGCACCGTTGGTTACAGCCGCAAACACACAACACGCGCGCACACACAAACGCATCGACTCGGGCGATCCAGCTCCGACTAAGCAGCTGTTACCATAGAAACAGAAGTAATAGGTCCCTTGTGCCCTTTCCCAGTCCATCCATTTCTCTTTGGGCCGAAAAGGCTGAAGCCATGAACATAACAAAAAGGAAGTCAAAAAAATGTGTTCCTTTTTTTTTTTTATTATGTCAAAGCAGTTGTGAAGAAGAAAAATTGGATTTTATTGCTCTTGGGATCCCCCCGCAGTTTTAAAATTGTTGTCATTACTGTGAAGCAACAGTTGGATCACTAAAAAAAAAAAAAAAAAAAAAAGAACTGCAAAGTGCCTTTTCGTTGCAGTAATTTTTCCACTTTTGAATATGTGGCTGTTCAGCTGAAGTCCTCTCTCCAAACCAAATTACAAAATATTTACAAGGCACCTAAATTCTGTGAAGACTCTTTTGACTGTTTGAATGAACTGTTGTCCATAATCTCTCTTGAATATGATGCTTCCCTTTGTCATTGTATTTTAATATTCTGTGTAAAACTTAAATTGCCTTGTATCTGAAATGCGCTACACAAATAAACCTGCCTTGCCTCATTACATGCACGTGTGAAATGAGAAATTGAGAGCAGAAGTGAATCCCTTTTTATAAAAAATAAAAATGAGTATCAACTCAACTTGAATTATAACGCACTTAAAAAAAACATTGTTGCATGAAGACAAAGTGATGTACATGCAGTAAAACTCAGTCACACAATAAGACAGAAAAAACAAGCACCACAAAACACAAAAACACTGCCGAGTCTCTGCGGGCAATCATGTCAATTCAAATCATTTCAATAAAGGGGCTTTAGTTTTCCCCTATTCTTTTTATGATTTGTTTGAAATAAATTAAATACCATATTTTCCACACTGTAAGGCGCTCCATTTTCTCAAAAACCGACAGTGCGCCTTATAATCCGATGCGCCTTATATATGGATCAATATTCTGATTTCTTGGACATAATATTTTAGCTGTTCTGTAAAGCTCTTTGTTACGGATGCAGCGGTTGTGAAAGCGCTAGATAAATAAAGCTGCATTGTATTGTATTCCCTTAGCATAGCTCCATCTAGTGGATGCATAACGCACACGCAGCCACAATTGTAGCTTCTATTCTATGCGCCTTATAATACGGTGCACCCTATATATGAAAACAGTTTTAAAATAGGTCATTCATTGAAGGTGCGCCTTATACTCCGAAGGGCCGTATAGTGCGTAAAATACGGTGCATTTTTTTATACTGATCTAAAGTAAACAATTTCACTTTTTTTTTTTTTTTTTTGAATGGCGTTCCATGTTTCAGCCGCAAAATCCACCAGACATTGAGGAGACATGCTAACCACCACGAAAGACTCATGCTAATGTGCGGTTAACCAGGAGAAGTGAGAAAATGACCGCTTAGCATTTCAAGAGTTGAACAGACAACTACGTAAATTGAGCAAAAGTTCACTTCATTCAAACAGGTGAGAAATCGGCTCAAAATGCTAACATTCAAAAAGCATTTTTTTTTTTGGTGAAATCCATGAATGATTTACAAACAACCAAACCAAATACCGCACTTGCGGCGGAGGCTTGAAGCCTACACAAAGGTCACGGAATTCCCGCTCTAATCGTGTGGCTTGATCATTATCTCGTTGACCAGCCAAACCTCGATGCTCAACTTCTCTGTGGTTTTCGCATCAAAGCCGCTTGCTCGGTGCACTTCACGGCTGGAATCTCAGTAGGGATTTTTCAGCATTCATCATTGTGTCCAAACAGTAGACTCGCTTTCACGACCACATGCGTTTGATCTCCCCCCCGCCGATCTTAAAGCTTTCCTCCGCCTATCTCGCACACACATTCTATTTTGTCCCCGGTCACACAACTGCGCGTTCATCTGTCAAATGCATGATATGGATTTCCTGTCAAAGTGCAAATATATCTTGTGTCGTGGGCCACGAGATGTGAAGGGATGGATGCTTGTGCATGTGAAGGAGGGGGGTGGTATTACGCAATCGGTTAAGCCGTGAGCTAAAACAATCCGCAGACACAATCGAGGTTCGAGAAGGAAAAAAAAAAAAAGTTTTGAGAGGTGGAAGAATGGGGTGAGGCCTTGTTAAAGGGTGAGTTGGCGGTTTACAATATGCGAGATTTGAATGTAGCCTCACTTCATATCAACCTCCCACATTCAAATCCGACCAAAGACACGTCCTTCGACAATATGCGTGTGCAAGTTCACGGTAAGAACGTGCACGTAAGCAAGCCGTTCTTATCCACGGCTGTTCCATTGCTAGCATGATTTATTTGCGGTGAACCGCTGTGCTGTCACTCTTATTTTCAGTTTGTTCAATTCCTTCTGCAACTGCGAAAAAAAAAAAAGTTTTGAGAGGTGGAAGAATGAGGTGAGGCCTTGTTAGGGTGAGTTGGCGGTTTACAATATTCGAGATTTGAATGTAGCCTGGCTTCATATCAACCCCCCACATTCAAATCCGACCAAAGACACGTACTTCGACAATATGCGTGTGCAAGTTCACGGTAAGAACGTGCACGACAGCAAGCCCTTCTTATCCACGGCTGCTACATTGCTAGCATGATTTATTTGCGTTGAACCGCTGTGCTGTCACTCTTGTTTTCAGTTTGTTCAATTCCTTCTGCAACTGTCTCCTCCTTTGGTCAATGGCATTTATATCTCTGTGTGCCATTTATCGCTTTCGCCGTACGTAATATGTTTGCTTCTGCTGGAAGGGCGTATTTGGAAGCATTTAAGTGACGCGCATTTTGTGTCATCATTAAGGGGGCCCTATTTTGGTATCAGCATTTAAGTGACGCGCATTTTGTGTCATCATTAACATTAAGGGGGCCATATTTAGGCAGGCACCCGTGTGCTCAGGGTAAAAACGGGAGCATCTTCATTTTGGTGCCAGGGCAAGTGTAGCCTTGCATGTTCGGGTCCATGATAAAATCGAGACTAAAAATTTCAAAATATCATATGTGGTAGATAAAAACAATGCAATATGAAAAGTGTTTTCTTGTTTTCCAAAACCATTTGCAAATATATATTTTAGGTACACTTTAACCCTTTCAGGGACAGCGCTTACTGCAGTGGTCAAGTTATTATGTTATCAGGTTACAGAGTGCATGCAAAGGTTCATTCAAATTCCTTCCTACTGCGTTTGCGTTCTCATTTTCACCCACATCTAATTGGTCGCAGGCCTACCTGTGCATGTTTTCGTCTTAGAGCAGTCGCGGTTAACCACGCAGAGGCGAAGAGTCACAATTTTTGCTCTTACTCCAAAAAGTCCCTCCCCTCCTCTCACATCCTCACTCTCTTTTGCATGTTTTGACCAACTCCCCCTTCATTTCATGCCTTTTTAGCCCATGCAATGTTCTTGATACGAGTGCTTCATAAATGCTGGAAACTGCGACGTTGTCCTTTCAAAGTGGGCAAGCTGTGCTTGCGAAGATCAGCCCCACTTTGGAAATTCCTCGTTGATGTTTGCACAGAGTGAAATGAAGTGGCGCTGAAGATTTGAAGCCTTGACATGCTCTAATGATGCCCGAGCAGCATGGCTTGCTGTTACATTCAACAAGCACGGCGTTTAAACATCCTCTGTTCGTCTTCATATTTTTGTTTTGCGTTTTTTTTTTCCACCTCCCATATTGAGAGCAAATTTGGTAACCCAGCAGCACTCATCCCTGCATCTCAGCGGACTCTGCTTTCCGCACACACCGCTCTCACAGCCGCGTTAGGCATCAACGTGAATTTCCAAACACAAAGGTAGCAAATGTTGATTTCTCTTCAGGATTTGTTCAAGGTCGAAAATGCCCACAAATACATTTCGCCAGACGTTCACAAACGGTTTCCATTTCTTGCCCGAGAAATTTGAATGGTCAAAATTTATTGTCGACAAGAAAAATGTTTGCGAGCATTTGTACTGTTTGCCGCTCAGTGGGATAAAGGGCCAAAGTCAAGATTCTTTGTGTGCTGTTTAACTAGTTGCATTTGGTGTTGTTTGGGGGGGGGACACATGAGTGTTTAAGGTGAATCCACTGTTTTTAACATCCGTGTGACTGGGGAGAACACACAAACTCCACACAGGAAGGCCGGAGCTGGAATCGAACCCGGTACCTCTGCACTCGATGCGCTAACCACTCGTTCACTGAGCCCCAATTGTAAATTGTTTTTCTTCAGTTGTGTTTTTCAGAGCAAGAGAGGCCAAAATCGAAAATACAATTAGAAGAAGGAGTAAATGCCCAGCCCTTCCGGCTACCTTGTTTAATGGCAGCGGGCCCGTCAAGGCCTACAAGGGCGATTGACACGAATAAGGTCAGACGTTCTCATCACACACTCTTCATCATGTGCATGGGCCGATGCGGTGAAAGAGCTTCATGATGAATGATCGACATGCAACCAGGCACGTGGAATGCCTAGTTCACATCCCCAGATCTTCCCGGAAAGTCTTTTCTTTTGCATGTTGAGTCATCTAAATTCATCAAACTGCACAATTAAAAAAAAAAAAAAACTGAGCAATTATGTCCCCGTGGCTTACCTGAGGAGTACCCAACCTCCGCAGTGAAAGCACCGGCCGTGTTTTCCTGACTCAGTCGCATTTATTTCCAGCAGACGCATTGTCTCGCTGAGGCGCGACGGAGTGCGGTGTGCTGAGTCAAGGACCTTTCGAAACGGAGGAAAATTCGCTCTTTCTTGCGCAGTGTGACAGCAATTCGAGGCATTGGTACATGTTATGTGTGGCTATAATTGCGGCAACAAAACAAGATTTAAAAATAAAAGCCGAATCTAATCATACGTCTGCAATTTTGCGGGACGCTTAAACAATAGAAATTCCTCCGAGAATGAATCGGCTGTTTAATTTTGAAGCATCCGTGTCTATCGGCATAATAAGCCTCAATGGGACAGCGAAACTTTGAGACCCTCAAACCTCAAAGTACTGTTTGCATTCTTTTAGCTGTGCAATAAACATTGTTTACTTCTAAAATGAGCGCCTGGCATTCATTGAAATGTCGTCCTAACTGAAGCAGTTTGTTTCGGGGTAGTCACTGCAAAAGAGGCCCTGTGTTGTGTTACTTGACCTGAAGCTGCTCTGTTCATTAATTGCTTTTAGTTTTCCCAATAGATGCTGAGTGTTTTATCTCCAGTCATCCGGTAGTTCATTTGAACAAAATGAACTGAAATCCCCATGTGAAAAGCTGCTTGGACACCATACCGAGGTACGAGCAGAAATTAGCCGGATACTTTTTGATCCGCGGAGGACAACATAAAAAAATTAAAAATGAGGGATAGAATTTGGATCCTGGTGCGGTGTGGAACAGTTCCATTGCTTTGTCACTCGACCGTGGCCACATTTTTATTGCCTTCCTACCAGTGTTTAATACAGACTTGGGCAAAGTATGGCCCAGGGGCCACATTCATCCCACCTACACTCTCCGACTGGCCCTCTTCGTGACCATGAAGTCAAAGTAAAACGGAAAAATATGCGGTGCTTTCATTTGGAAAGTTGCGCTTTGTATGTACACATGGCCACGAGCACAAGCAGCTAGCAAAAGCTGTGACCTGTGCCTGAAGTGTTGCCAACTTTGAGACGTTGCAGATGTTTTAGCGATGTTGAGCAACGTTTCGGATCCCTCTGCAGGGGGAAAAAAACGATTTTGGAGAGTGGTAAATTTTACCCATGAAAATTGGGAAAAACGTACCTGATTATTTTACGCAGTAAAAGAATCAAGAAATGAAGAGTAATTTATATCTAAACTACCTATTTTATATCAGTAAAAAGAATTGCTACAATAAAAAAAAAATAAAAATAAAAAAAATAAAAAACAAAAACTGTAGAATCCTGGGCAGCTCGGTGTTCCAGTGGTTAGTGCCTCGACCTCACAGTGCAGAGGTGCCGGGTTCGATTCCAACTCTGGCATTCCTATGTGGAGTTTGCATGTTCTCCCTGGGCCTACGTGGGTTTTCTCCGGGTACTCCGGTTTGCTCCCACATTCCAAAAACATGCATGGCAGGCTGATCAAACACTCAAAATTGTCCCACGGTGTGAGTGTGAGTGCGGATGGTTGTTCGTCTCTGTGTGCCCTGCGATTGGCTGGCAACCGGTTCAGGGTGTCCCCCGCCTACTGCCCGAAGACAGCTGGGATAGGCTCCAGCACCCCCCCCCAACCCCCGCAACCCTTGTGAGGATAAAGCAGCTCAGAAAATGGATGGATGTGAATGAATGGCCAGTGAATCGAACCATGTACCTCAACAGCGGTCTCGTAGTCGGAGCCGTCAAGCAAGCTGACTTTAACGGGGACAGTTTTCGGCCTCTTGTTGCTCTTCTGAGGGGATTTGGAAGCCTTGCTGGGAGTCTTGTCCGAGCTTTCGTCAGCATCTCGGTGCTCCTCGGGCACCTGGATAGAGAAAGTCAAAACGTCTCTTCGTCCCACTACTTTCATTCAAGTTCATTTTCTTGTCTCGTTTCGTGATTAAGTGCAAGAAGATCTAAAAATGTTCAGTCGAGGTGGGTGGAATGATTGAGAGACCCGAATAAAACGAGCTGCTGTTAGTTCCCCAGTACACCCACCTGATTGGTTCTCTTGCAGTCACCCTCCATTGCACTTTTCATTTCCTCAGCCAAAGCTGTTGTCATAGAAATGGATTGAAGGCCTGCAAGCACACATAAACACAGTCAGATCTAATTCCGCTTGCGCAAAAGAAAGAACAGCCCGGCTGGAATGATTACTGGCCCTAAATGTCCAATTTGGCGATATTGTCGTGATTGATTTAACAAAACTCTCTCCCTCTGTCACTATCCTCACATTAATTGAGTGACGCCGGCAAACTGTATTAGTCTCTGCCATTCACCTCCGGTTGGCTTTTCATCCACCGAAAGGATGTTAAAACAAAGAAAGACGAGTGCAGGGTGTAGAGTGCAGGCTCCGGCGTCTTCTCGAGCAGAGACGTCGCATAAATTCTATCAGCCGCCGAGCAGACAACCCAGAAAGAGGAAAAGGGAGGCAGGGAGGAAAAGGCTAATCATCTGAAGATGTGGAAGGAGGTTCCGAAGAGAGATGATAGAACACAAGTCACGAAGAGAATGACAGCAAGGTGGGGAGATGGACATAAAAGCAATAACGCAATATACAGCTGACGGATGAGAGTTGTCATTTGAAGGTGACCACTGCACTCTGGTCCAACCCCATCTTGTGTAGAAGAGCTGAAATTCAGATGAGGCGTCATGGGAAAGAGGAACCAATTATCCAAGAGAAAAAAAAAAAAAAAAACCCCTGAGTCAGTCAGTGACTTTGTTATCAAAAGAGAGCACGGGATGTGAGGTTTAACATCTTCATATTTCAGCTGAACTTGCCCGAGATAACACCGGAAAATGCTCTTTTGAACGACAGAGTGCAAATTAACTTGGTACATGACCAAGTAGAAATATTGCAGTGTGACCGAACAGAAGCCTTGCAATTCCGTGCAAATATATGAACAATTATTTATTTTCTCAAGTGGACTGTTATTTTTAGTTTTTGTCTTTTGGGGAGGGGGCGGGGTTGACCTGTTTATACGGTCAAGAACACATCCCCAAGAGACATTACAATCATATGGGTGATCCACATATGGGTGATCCACTCTGCACTCCTCATGACCAATCAATGATTTCATTTATCCAAGAGAGGCATTCAGACTTGCGCGTTGACCTCACAGTGCAGAGGTACCAGGTTCGATTCTGGCTCCGGCCTTCCTGTGTGGAGTTTCCATGTTCTCCCCGGGCCTGCGTGGGTTTTCTCCGGGTACCCCAGTTTCCTCCCACATTTCAAAAACGTGCCTCACAGGCTGCTTGAACACTTAAAATTGTCCCTAGGTGTGAGTGTGAGCGCGGATGGTTGTTTGTCTCTGTGTGCCCTGAGATTGGCTGGCAACCGGTTCAGGGTGCCGCCCGCCTACTGCCCGAAGATGGCTGGGATAGGCTCCAGCACCCCCCGCGAACCTTGTGAGGATAAAGCGGATCAGAAAACGGATGGATGGATGGATGTGGCATTCACAGTGCCCCTTTCGACATCACTTCTAAACTCTGCTTCCCTAATCATCTGCGCAAGGTGAAGAGAGCGAGAGATAGAAGCCAAAAAGAGCCGTAATCTTTCTGACAGGATTCCATTTTTGATCTTTCTTCTTTTTATTCTATTTTGAGTTCTCATTGTGTGGAGCTCTGCGGTTCAAGAATCCGAAGGTAAGATTAATTTCAAAAGTCAAACAATTGAAGCACTCGACTTATGGCCTTGCTTCTCTTCCATTTTGTCGGCGTGTTCAAAAGGTGCTTTTTTTTGCTTTGCAGTCAGTCCGTCAGCTATTTGTGGAAATATTTGCCGTTTCTACAGGATCTTTTGTCAGCGTCCCAAAGATGGTGATGACGGATAAACGGGATGCTTTTCAGTCCGTTCTCATCCCAGAGAAAAATTACTTCCCAGAATGCTCAAAATGGTTTATTTTAAAACAATGCTTCTCATGTGCTAGACATTTGGGAAATAGTAAATGAGCGGGTTTTCACGTGGCGTTTTTCCACATCAACCACATGGGAAAATGTTCTCGGATGTTGCCTCACTCACATAGAAATGGATAAGCATCTCTGAGGTTGTATTTTCTGCGGTTCAAATTTGCAAACAGTTGGTGACAACTTGGGTTGCATGAAGAGTGAATATTCCAAAATGACAAATGTTTAGTGTCATAAATGTTTCTGAAGATCTCTCATCATGGTCTCAAGTCCAGCAAGTTTTGCTTCAGGAAGGGGATAAACTGTGGTGACCCCTGACAGGACAAGAATGGTTTGAGGAAAAAAATAAAATAAACAAGACAGAAAAAAAAATTGGGAAGCGCTTGGATCAAAAGTTCCATGAATCAGTTTAAACAGCTCAAAAGTGAAACAGCACAGCTGATTTTAAAAAACAACCAAAGATCGACAGTGACATTGAGCAACTCGTTGTTGTGGAAGATATACACAGTTATTTTCTTTATTTTTAGGCAAACTGTTCTAAATGTTCGAAACACAATGACCTCATTAACGACCAAAAATCTGTTTTCTTTTTCTTTTTCTTTTTTAGCTTTTGTATGTTAAATGTTTTGGGGTTTTGTTTTTTTTTTTTTTTTTTTTTTGAAAGAAAGGTACATCTGAGGTTTTATCAGTTGTTGGTGAGCTGAATCAAATTGCCACTGGACTCTCGGTAATCTGACGTAGGTTACTGCCTTACACTAACATCCATCCATCCATCCATCTATTGTCTGAACCGCTTTATCCTCACAAGGGGGGTGCTGGAGCCTATCCCAGCCGTCTTCGGGCAGTAGGCGGGGGACACCCTGAACCGATTGCCAGCCAATCGCAGGGCACACAGAGATGAACAAACATCCGCGCTCACACTCACACCTACGGACAATTTTTGAGTGTTCAATCAGCCTGCCATGCATGTTTTTGGAATGTGGGAGGAAACTGGAGTACCCGGAAAAAAACCCACGCAGGCCCGGGAAAACATGCAAACCCCACACAGTGAGGCCGGAGCTGGAATTGAACCCAGTACCTCTGCACTGTGAGGTCGATGCGCTAACCACCGCTCCACTGGGCCGTCTCTACAAATACATAAGAACTGCAAACCGGCGTTACCTATGAAAGATGAATGTGAATATAGAGTAAACTGGAGGTTTCCGCCCATTGTCACCATAACAGCTTCTATGTTCTGGAGATAATTACTACAAGATGGTGCAATGTCAGTCATTATGAGAGGGAGCCAATGTCACGTTCTGCTGTCAGTAACAAAAGAATTCCTGTCGTGTCACTCGGGATTCTGTCAGGCCTTCCAACTAACCTTGGCTTTGCTTTCCACCTCAGTCATATGTCCTCGGGGATCATTATACTAAACGCCATGAAATGGTGTGAGTCCAAGACTCTGAAACCAAACACACTCAAGTAGAAACATCTGTCAAACACTTATCCAACAAGGAAAGAAAAAAAAAAAATCTATGTGATCCCTATACCATTCCTACACCAAAATGCAGCACACTTACGATAAAGATGTTGGGGAGTCTCATAACCCTTATTGCAGTCATAACGTCTGTTTCCAAAGCAATTCTCAACAAGTATATTTCTCAGATGCTATTTCATGTCCAAAAGATATGACCCTAAAAGATTACCTTTCAGCTGTTTGTATGGGACACACAACTTGAGAATTTCGCTCACCGCCTCAGTGCAGGCTGCTATGCGACAGCAGCAATTTGTTTCTAAATGAGGTCAAAACAAAAGAAAAAAAAAACAAGGAGAGATCATAAAAACAGTTCATTTTGGACTGTCTGAATAAGTGAGGGAAACAATGGAGGGTGTTCTTAAGATTGATTACCAAACAGTGTCCCTGCAAACCTGTCAAGAAAACTGAAAAATAAGCATGCCGCTTCCTGGTTTCTGATTCTGCCGATCGTTCTATTTTACATCTCTCAGATTACAGCACAGCGGTCGTTCTAATCGAGATAAGAGGTAGAACCGAACCGATAGATTTCGGCAGATCCTGTCCAAGCTGTAAAAACCACGCCATGTAAAAATCATCATCAAGCCTGTTATTAAATTATTTTTATTATTAAATATTCATAAAACCAAAAAGTCCAAATAAATTTATATACAGTATATATATATATATATATATATATATATATATATGTATATATATATAATTTTTTTTTAATATATATATTTTTTAATATCATTTTTGTATTTGGTAATGGAGTAACCCAAAATTAATTTAAAGTACTCAAGTTAAATTCCTTTCATAATGTGGTTCTTGGATTACATTACTGACTGCATTTTTTTTTAAACAAGTAATTAGTAACTCTATCGAAATTCATTTTTAAGGTCACCCTAACAACCCTGCATATTACATGTAAACAACATAATGATGTAAACATTCGTGAAATCAGAGGCTTGCATTATCTCAAGATTTTTAAAAGTGAAGATGATTTGCGATTTGGGTATTTTCGTGAGGAACATGAAGTCGATGCACATGATTTGCTTTCGCGGGCCATATAAAATGAGGTTGCCCCTGGGCCTTGAGTTTAACACCTGTGCAAGAGAGACACTGTCAGGTTTTATGGTACAGATGCAACACATCTGATCTCATTTAAACATTATGACAACCAATGATGAAACAATAATAATGACAAGCATATGCTACTCACTGCAGGACGAGGATAAATATTTCCACGCAGCTTTGTGACTTGCACTCCACAGAGTCGGGTGAAGGAGAGATGCCTTTGTCATCACTCCTTCTGAGGTCATTCCCACCTTGAAAAGCACCTGCTTGGAGCTCTAGAATATCCCGATTGTAAAATCCGATGTGAACACAATTTTAAAGAATGACGTTATTTTTCCACTTCGTGCCGTCCCGGTAACTTGGAATACATGGAAGCTGGAAGTTTGTACACCACAGTGTTCTCCACCGTAAATACAGCATGAGCTGCTGTGGGTCATGTCCAATTGGGGCACTCACAATAGCTGAGTGAAGAAATGTGTGATTTTAAAATTTCCTGTCATGAATGAACCTAAATTAATGTGATGAATGGTATGAGGCACTGAAAGCAACGTTCGCAGAGAACAACACGGCAGCCTTACAAACATTCCCGAGGTTAATCCC